CCTACAGTAAAACCTTGAATTGCGAGTAACTTGGTCTGCGAGTGTTTAGCAAGACGAGCAAATTTTTTAATAAATATTAATTTGATAAACGAGCGAGGTCTTGCAATACGAGTAGTACGTGTATACGCTTTGTCTGCCGAGCGTCACGTGATCACAACTGATAAACGAGTGCTTTGGATTACAAACACGTTTCCGGAACGAATTATGCTCGCAATCCAGAGAAAGAAAACACAAAACACAAAACGCACGCAAGCGCGTGGCCGAACACGCCACCCTCTCAAGCACACCTGGCACCAACAAAAGCCGTGGTTGGTGGCGATTGTCAAGAAAAGTGAATCGGCATTGTGTCTCGGCAAGGGGCCTGACACCAGCTGCGCGGTGACGGTCTTCGTGGTGGTGCACGGTGCCTGACTTGCACGCACTCCGCCAGGACCGCAGGGATTGACTGAGCCGACGGATCAGGTGCGAACGAGATTCATTCATCAGGCGTGAACACATCTTGACAGGTATTCATAATGGTGGGGGTGTGGGGTGATAAGGAGCGGTGGCGCAGTGGTTAGCACGCTCCACTATGAATTTGCAGACGTGAGTTTGATTGTCGTGTCGCGACTACCATCGGTGTCGAGTGATATCCGAACCGGTTATCCGGGATAACGCCCTCTTCACCAAGCCACGTTTGACCATCAATAGTGAAGATTGGTCAAACGACCCCAATGGCAGGATTGGTGTGCGGGTGCCTTCATCCAGCAGTGTATTGACAAAGGTTTGTGAATGATTAATGTATTATTCATTATGTTTTTGGCAAGCCATCGAACAAAGATGGTGACTGCATCGCGCGCTATCAGATGCCCTTCTGCGAACGTCTGGAACGCTCTTCCTTTCAACGTTAGGAAACAATTATGTATTTTGAAATCTAGATTGAAAACTAATTTCTTTCGAGCTGATTTTTGCGTTTAGTTTGTTGTATTTTTCTCGCACCTGTGATTAGCATGGGTTGATTACACACGGTGTGAAAGGTCAACATACATACATTATTTTTAAACGTTAATTTGTTAAGTAAAAAACTGAAGACTTAAACGTTTAGGGTTGGTAAAAATAATGAAGGTGAAACGGTCACTTAAACGAAACATTATTAAGTGGTTGAGGAGTGTAGTTGTGCTGAACGGTCAGGGTCACATTTGTCGATACAGGTTTCCTAAATATAATTCACGTATAGGACAAATACCACTCGGGAATAAATCCTGAAATGTCTCTCAAGAATTAATTGTTCAGATGACAACTTCATTTATTTGGTTGCATCAGTTGGAGGATGATGGACGACAGACACATTGGCATTTTACTCAAGCGGCAAATCTGACCCAAAAATCAATGATGAGTCATGATACTGGTCACGAAAGCCAGCGTGTTAAAATTATTTTCTAGTTGGAGTGCCACTTATCCTTAATAACAAAGCTCTGTACACGAGTAGCTAAACTCTGTCTGCGAGAATAGGCGAGAGGCGCTTGGCGTTTTTATACAGCACACCAGGTGCCGAGGGACATTTTAATTTAGTGATAGTCCATCTTCCCATATGCCTCACAATGAACTCTGTTTTGAATGAATGTGTAATATTTATGTTTTCAGCCAGAACAGTTTTTTTCTGTACAATGCGCTCGCTTTTTTCATGTTTTTTTCTCTCTCCATACGATCGTATCCCACATTTCCCAATTTTCCACGGGTCATGCTTCCGAAAAGATAAGGGCAAAATGCAGTTGAGAGCGAGAGAATGGGATGCGTAATTGTACAGCAGAAGTTTGGGGGAATTACGCCGTCCAAAACCGCGGCTCATTTCAGGACGTTTACAAAACACGTGCAGATTTTTCAAGGCCCCTGTGCATAGACATGTGGACATGCACAAAGCACGGTGGGCTTGGAGTGACACAATCATTTTAAATTCTGTTAATGTCAAGCAATTGACTGAGGCTTGTCAGATGGCTTCTTAACCGCTCCGTTTTGCTTTATGTACCATGTTTATTGCCTTCTACGAGAAAATGCTGCCACTGTGTACATGTATTCATTTTAATGCGCATTGCTTGCAAATACAACATTTAGGAACACTGTGTTTCCAATAATGTACAAGCACGAGTAGGGCTTTGAAATAATGTGTTGACGAAATTCATTGGTTGGTTTTGATATTTTGGTTTGCCTTGGCAAGAATTAAGACATCTTTACTCATCACCAGCAGCACGCAGGCCTCGACATCTCAATTGCCGACACTGCTTTACGCAGAGGTCTGTCTCTGGTCCGGATTTCTAGAAATTTCCAAATTCTGTCCTGTGCGAGAGGGACTCTTAGACAGCCACGCGTAGCTTAATGGTACTCATCCAAATAATAACAAAGATTAATACATTTTTATTTAAAGCTTTCCTGACTGCAGGGATTCATATTATTGGTTCTTTCGGTAAAGTCACGTAGAAGGGAAATAATAAAATAATAAAAATATAAAACAATAAAATTCTCACGACGTTTCGACTGCAACACAAGCAATCATCATCAGGTGTGATTTCACGTGTTTTGTAAACGTCCTGAGAATTTTGTGTGAAATCACACCTGATGATGATTGCTCGTGTTGCAGTCGAAACGTCGTGATAATTTTATTGTTGATTATTTTTTATTATTTTATTGTTTTCCTTCTACGTGACTTTACCGAAAGAACCAAGAATATAAAGATGAATAATTTACCAGCTTGTCTTTCTGCCGAGTTGGAGAGGCCAGTGCGGTAACATCCATGGTTGTCATTCACTTGCATGCTTCCACGTCTTTGCTCCCAGGCCTGCACACCACGACACTGACCAGCATGCTGAAATGTGATCAAAACAATCTCTACGGCTCGCAAAGGCACGAGGAGGCCCCTCATCCAGCAGTAGACTTGACTCGAGGTGTACATGCTACACGTGTCTTTCTGAAAGGGTTGCACAAGCTGGACTTTTTATTTAAAAGCCACCCACGATATTTAGTATTTTAAGCACTTTGTAATTCTAGCTTGTCACAGCTGCTCAGTCATCAAACGAAATCAGGGGAGGGGATGCCCCAATGACCAACAGTTTTTAGCCGTCAAAATAAAACATGTTCTCCGATCGTCACGCCTGCTGTTTTGAGAACAGGTGTGCCTCCCTGTGTTGTGTGCACTGCCCGGCGACCGGATATTTGACTCTGACCGTCGTCTTGGATGCCATGTGCGTGAGCCACACTGGAGCTGCCGTGCGTGGCGCACGAAGCGTCTGTGCGTGACGCATCTTTTTCCAGCCGTCTTCTCACCTGTACCATGGCGTGCCAAGCACGGGTTTGCGGAACAGAATGCAGAACGAATGAATTTTCCGGAACGATTGAAATTCACGAAACGGAACAATAAATGGAAGTAAATGTATGTATCTTCTTGGTTCTTTCGGTAAAGTCACGTAGAAGGGAAATAATAAAATAATAAAATAAAACATAATAAAATAAAACATTATTATTTTATTGGTTTATTTTTTATTATTTTATTATTTCCCTTCTACGTGACTTTACCGAAAGAACCAAGAAGATACATACATTTAGTTCCATGTATTGTTCTTTCGGTAAAGTCACGTAGAAGGGAAATAATAAAATAATAAAAATACAACTTAATAAAATAATATTATAATATAAAAAGAATATAATTATATAATATTTTATTATGTTTTATTTTTATTACTTTATTATTTCCCTTCTACGTGACTTTACCGAAAGAACCAAGAAGATGAATCCCTGCAGTCACGAAAGCTTTAAATCGAAATTTAAATGTATGTATATTTAAAAAGATTGTTTAAATTAAAACGAATGACATTATATACTCAATTGTTATTTTGCTCCATTATTTTCTTTGTCACGCTACAAAATGTTTCAGAATCGATTCTGAACGTTCCGCTAAACATTGATTGACATCACTTGCTGTGCACATCATTGTATATGTTCAACTTAGTCGTTACATCGTGGTAACATAATCATTTATTTGTATTTATTTACGAGCGTCACGCCATTACGTCTCGAAGTGCAAGCAAATGTAGTCTAACGAGTGAACCCACAGATCGATAAACATAACGAACAATTACTGTACGACAAGGCCGTAGCCATGGATTGGGGGGGACCAAATCTTATAGGGGGTCTAGGGGTCTCCCCCCCCCCCACAGGAAAAAAAATCTAAATATGAAAACGAATTTCCTGCCTAAAATATTAAAAGTTTCTTTAACACATGGGATGGACTTAGATTTTTTTTTTACAATAATGTTTAATAGAGTATTGTATTACATTGCTCTGTTTTTTCTTTTTTACTTTTTCTTGTTTCATTGTATGTAATGGCAGAGATTAGGGATTAATAAAGTACAACCATAACCACAATCATAGAAACAGAAATCTATTTTATAGCAATATATTGGGGGGGGGGGGACATTTTGAGCATCTTTCAATATGACGAAATAAACATTCAGAATCTGTCTCTTTCTTCGTACAATTAAAAACAATAGGCATTGTTCGTGGCTAAGAGTAAATCTGGAGTCTTTTGTTGAATCGACGACGCAAGCTCATTGGTGCAGCGCAACGGTCAGCCACACCAGCTCACACCGTCACGTCCCACAACATTTGGATCACATTTAAAATGTTTTATTTTAAACTGAATGATGCTGGTGCAACAACCATTGGCAGTCAATATCTCATGAATTAACAAGAGTTCTGTGCAAAAAAATTAGGGCTGGATATTAAGGCCATTCAACGGACAAGTCCAGACGATATGAATGTTAATCATTTACTGAGCAAAATTACGCATCCGGCCGAAATATTACACAGTCCACAAAGCAACTCTTATCCACCTAATAAAATTACTCGGCCGTGTTACGGCTGCCTATAAAAGCCAAGGACACCCGTAACATACTGGCCGTCGAGTTTACGACTGACCCAGACGACTGCTTTGTGGAAGGGCAGAGAGGCTGGCTTATGGTCTTGTGAGACCCGAAGCCATTCGATGTCAAGCCCCGGCTGCGACCAGACGGGAACGTGGCACAGTCCTCGTGGGCATCGTCCGCCACTCGCAGCTCCTCCTCGAGACATGAGCCGCCCAGCGAGTCACGATGGCCGGTGCGTAATGCGCAGGCACACGAACAATCCGCTCCTCCGTGAGTCGCTCTCTCTCTCTGTGCCCCGGAGATTCTCGCCCTGCAGAGGTGAGAAGATGGCTGTGCCAAGGCCGTAATTGCAATTTCTATTGGGGGGGTGTGCCGTGCGTGACAAGCCATATGGGGGGGGGGTGTGTCCCCCCCCCCCAATATTCAAATATGCTCAAAATGTCCCCCCAAATCTATTGCTATAAAAAATTGCTATGCTATGTAAATAAAAACAACAATTTGCTAAACCTTGGCCACAATATCTGGACTTGTCTTTATATAAATCAATGCATAGATTTCTGTTAATTTTTGAATCTTTTAGGCAAGAAATGTAGATATTTTTTCTGGGTTGGGACCCCCAGACACCCTGGAAGATTTGGTCCCCCCCCAATGTTGACTCCATGGCTACGGCCTTGGGCTGTGCCATCCGTGGCTGTTGAGCGCGCAGGCCGTGCAACTGCACCAGGGGCCACGCGGGCAGATAGGGGCCCAGGCACTGGGCTACAGAGATAAAGGGGCAGGTGGGGGGGGGGTGTTAGATCGGGGTCCCAGGGTTAAGTCTCGCACCAGGGTTCGTGTCAACCACGCTACACCACAGGCTGTGAGCTTGGAGTTGTTTGCTGTTAATTGCCGCGACCTGACCAACGTATCACTTTGAAATGTGTGACTGTCACAGTGACCGTCCTTTGATGCGGGCGCGCGAAGAACGCACCATACCCACGTTTTTTTGCGTAAACCATTCATTGTATCAGCGGGCAAGGTAAATACCGCGCCGCTCGACGGCACAGCTGGGTGTTGCCGTGCGTGACTCTCCGTGCCGTGCGAACGATCCCGTGGGCGAGCAGGAACAAGGGGCGGCCGGGGCTCCTGGCGGTGGCGCTTGCGGTGCGGGACGCGTCTAGGGGTCGCGTCGCCCCCTCGTCCGCACCGCCCTCGAACGCCGCGGCTCTGAGAGGCACGGGGAGGCCTCACCGTGCCGAGGTTGGTTCGCGACATCGCTAAACGCACAACCGTCGGGCGCCGGCAAAGACGTCGCGGGAACGATCACAATGACATCTCGCGCGCAGGACGCGTTGTTTTTTTTTATCACGGTTGGATGGATCACTGTTTCATTGCTTTCATGGCTTTATTTTGGTGATTTCGAAAAGTGTATTGGTTTAGCCATTTTAACACGTAGGCTTTCGCGACCAATGTTATTCATAATCAACGTTTTTGGGTTTAGATCGCGTTATTTATAAATGTGTCGTAACCCTCCACCACCCGACACGGCCAATCAGTAAAAAAGGTGTCACGTTGACAAAAGACAAATAGTTCACTGCTTTAGCCCACCGGTGTGTTGAAGCCACAACATTTACAATTTGAGTACGACGTTTCGCTGGTAATTGAATCCAGCATCATCGGGCAATTCGCCAGAATGGTGAGGCTCTGCTGTGTCTTCCGTTCTGCTCTATATAAGAACGGGAGACACAGCAGAGCCTCACCATTCTGGCGAATTGCCCGATGATGCTGGATTCAATTACCAGCGAAACGTCGTACTCAAATTGTAAATGTTGTGGCTTCAACACACCGGTGGGCTAAAGCAGTGAACTATTTGTCTTTTGTCAACGTGACACCTTTTTTACTGATTGGCCGTGTCGGGTGGTGGAGGGTTACGACACATTTATAAATAACGCGATCTAAATCCAAAAACGTTGATTATGGTTTAGCCATGTTTGTTTGTTGTAGTACAGAGTTAGACTGATGGCCTTAATATAAGTTGTCTTGTGGTTGTTGTTGTTGTTGTTTGACTTGCATCCCACTGGGATTTTTGCACACAGCGTTGGTGTAACGGTGTTTTTTTCTGCAATATTTTGCTGTCTTTTCTTGGATTTATGTTTGCACTTAGTCACATAGTCATTTTAAGATGTTTTATGTTCATGTTTTTGTTGTTTGTTTGTTGCGGTTGCACCCGATTCAAGAGCCGAATGGCTCACAGGGCTATACCTAATAAATGAACTTGAAACTTGAACTTGAGATTAGTTGGCCACGGAATGTTTCCAGAGGATGGCTTCATTCGGTGAGTTCATGTTGGTTCACCACCTGTGTGGACGCCCTTGCCGACTCATAGAACTCTATCCGAAGAGGCTCGTGGATGTACGCAGAGACTCGTAGATCTCCACGCGAATGTTGGGGGTTTTCAGTACGGTCCACTACTGCCAGCTCGGTGTTTCTGCACTCGTGGGGGGCCGCCACCGTGGGGGGCTCTGCCCTTGCCACGTGCGGATCTTCTTTGCGTGTTGTGGTTGTTGTTTTCTTGTTTTCAAGGCAGTGGTGGTGTAAGGGGCCGTCCATAAATGACGTCACGCGATTTTGGACAATTTTTGACCCCCCCCCCCCTTGTCACACGGCGTCACAAAAAGTCGGACCCCCCCCCCTCAAATATGACGTCACAAAGCTCTACCCCCACCCCCCCCCCCAAATCGTATTTCCATTTTGAAAATAAAACATGCTTCAAATCGCTTTAAACTATTGTTATTGTAGTGCGTATTTAATGTGACACTGCACTCTGATGTTGTATGAGTGTTGTTATAACAATTAGTGTTGTAATGACAATTATATATTTATTTAAAGTTGCGAATTTTGAGGTGACGTCACATTTCTCAACCGCCCCCCCCTCGTCACACATCGTCCCAAATGTCTGACCCCCCCCCCCCTAGGTGCATGACGTCATTTATGGACTGCTCTTACTTGATACAGCTATCGTGCTGTGATGGTTCCACCTGAAGACGGAAGCTTGTGTTGCCTCCGAAACATCGTGATTTTAATTGTATTTTAATTTGACTTTTATTAATTTTAAGTTTTTACGTTTAACACGTAGGCTTTCGCGACCAATATTATTCATAATCAACGTTTTTGGGTTTAGATCGCGTTATTTATAAATGTGTCGTAACCCTCCACCACCCGACACGGCCAATCAGTAAAAAAGTGTCACGTTGTCGCCAGAATTGCCCCATGATGCTGGATGCAATTGCCGGCGAAACGTCGTACTCAAATTGTAAATGTTGTGGTTTCACGCTTCAACACACCGGTGGGCTAAAGCAGTGAACTATTTGTCTTTTGTCAACGTGACACTTTTTTACTGATTGGCCGTGTCGGGTGGTGGAGGGTTATGACACATTTATAAATAAAGCGATCTAAACCCAAAAACGTTGATTATGTTTAATTTTTTACCTACGTGACTTTACCGAAAAAAACTAAGAATATGAATCATTGCAGTCACGAAAGCTTCAAATCTAGAAGTACACTGATATTGTTGTCGTCTCCCCCGCGGGGCAGCGCGCTGCGTGGAGACCCACGCTGCACCACAAGAGGAGCCCGCTGTTAGCGCTGCACGTGCGCCGCGCGGTGCCCTGGAGGCCCTCCCGTCCGCCCACCGGCCGTCTGCACGCCGCGCGGGGCACGGCGACCCCACCGCACGGGGACGCCCGCTCGCCCCACCGGACCGGTGAGAGGCTCACCGGCCGCGGCACCGCGTCTGGCACCGCGTCTGGCACTTTAAGCCGCCACAATTGACGAACACGGCGCACGGACACCGACGCACCATGCGCTCCGCGCTCCTTTCTCCAATGTCAGCCTGAAAGGTTTCACTGCCGCACTATTATTAGTTCAAACAATTATTAGATTTTTTCCCAATTACAAGTTCGATTATCGGTGGTACGATACGAGACGAAGGAATTTAAGTCTCACAGAAAGCAGTAAATTAAATAATTTACTTTTATTTATTTTAATTTTATTTTTCACCTACGTGACCTTACCGAAAAAACTAAAGAGTATGGACCCTTGCAGTCACTATAACTTTAAATCTAGAATCAATGTTAATTAGCTTTTTTAGAGAACGATCTGTGGAATATGACAATAAAGAACTACTTCTGAGACACATTCAGTTGCCTCTTATTGACACTGATTTGTCATGGGATGTTTTTTGGAGCAGCCATTAGTAACCGACTTATAGGATGGACTTCTTACACGGGATAATTTGGTTCAATAATGGGCAGCTGAAACCCAGATTACAACTCAAGACCTCAGCGATGCTGGTTCAATGCTGCAACGCAGTTGTGGGAGCCACGGTGGCGAGATGTCAACTACCTCGCCTGGTATACAGGAGGTCGTGGGATCGATCCTGACCCCTGATGTCTGTATATTTGCAGTTTGCATGTTATCCCTGTGGTCGTGTGGATTTTTCTCCGGGTCCTCCGGTTTTTCTCTCCACATTAAGCAACATAAGTGTAGAGTATTTGACTTATATACATTTTTACGTAATAAGCCACTTCGTTGAGCTAAGATTTGTGATAGCCAGATGGCTACTGAAAATAGCTATAGAGCTCAGTGGGCCTTACCTGGTAAAATATTTTTTTAAAATAGTTTATTATGGCTTCCATATACTTCAGGTAATTTTAAATGGACTTGGTTTGTTTAAATAATGAGGCACATTGCTCAAAAACATTAACTGCATATTTTCTCTCCTGTTTTAAGATGGCATTGATGATGGTGGTGGTGGGGTTCATCAGCACTGTCATTATAAAATTAATCACTAATGTTAACACGTTTAGCTAAATATGAAACTGGTAGAAAAGTCTTCACACCTTTACATTGTAACGTTCTGACCCGCCCCCACTGAACATCTATGAAAAATTTCTTTACAGCTAATCGGATTCCTCTAATATCAATATTCAGATTATGACATTGTTAGTCTGACGAGGAAGAAAAAAATTGGATAAAAAAATCACAGGAAGACGTCTGAAATGTCCCACTGTTCAATCCCGGCACAGAAGAGACCGAGGGCGCCCTGCCGGACCTGTCCAGCAGGGCACAGGGCGTCGCGATGAAAGCCGAGTGACCGTCACGGTGTGGAGCTCCTCTCATCAGATGCCACCCGGCTATACATAGCGTGGTGGAGTGGCGGTGCAGTGTATAGGGCATTGTGCTATGCACCTCGTGTACCCGAGTTCAATCCCTGCTAACGAGAATGGGCGGTGCATTGCGCTCTGAACCCCGTGGACCTGAGTTCAACCCCTGGTAACGAGCACTGCGATATGAACCCAGTGATTCCACTCCAATCTTTGCTAGCTAGCACCTATTAATTATCATTGGCGAGAGACAATGATAATATAATAGATCCCGCGCAACAGTAGCACGGCGAAGTACGGTCAAACAGCCCGCAGCACTAACGCGGCATGGGAAGGCCTTCGACCAGCAGTGGATTGACCTCGAGTCGAAAAATTCGAAAAATTCTGATTCTTATTACGACTGTAAAGACTACGCAAGCTCTGCCTTGGCTGTGGGTGTCGCACGCCGTGACAGACCACATGCAGCGAAGGGGACGCGGTCACAGCGGCGGTGGCGGCCACGGCGGTAGCGACGGCACGGCGTGGGACGGCGCGGTGGCCTGGAGCCCCGAGGAGGAGGCCGGCGAGGAGGTGGAGCGGGAGCTGCTGGAGCTGCTGGTGCCCCAGCTGGAGCCGTACAGCCGCCAGCGCCTGCGCTGCCTCGCGTGGGCCCTGCAGCGGCACGCGGAGGCCCGCGACGGCGTCCTCACCAGCGACGCGCTCACGTCAGCCTCGCCGCTGCCCCGTGGCACGCACGGTCCACTACACAGAGCTCACTACACAGAGCTCACTACCTACACAGGGCTCACTATACATAGAGATCACTTCACAGGGCTCGCTATACATAGAGATCACTACACATAGAGATCACCACACAGGGCTCACTACACAGGGCTCGCTACACATAGAGATCACCACACAGGGCTCACAACACAGGGCTCACACTATAGATATAGATCACTACACAGGGCTTACTACACACCAAGCTCACTAAACACATGCATGCACCGCGCTTTTGCCGGTCCACTGTTTGATGAGCGCCTCTGGGAGTGATTGGGGCACAACGCTCAGGGCGGGTGGGCAAAGGCAGGGAGCATAGACGTTGGGAGCATAGAAGTACAGTACAATAATGGATATCGCTCACTGCCACCTTCTTTTCATAAACATAGCCCCGCAGCGGTCCACAACACGCACGGTGGCCACCCATAGGCCCGCAACACGCACAGTAGCCACCCATAGGCCCGCAACACGCACGGTGGCCACCCATAGGCCCGCAACACGCACGGTGGCCACCCATAGGCCCGCAACACGCACGGTGGCCACCCATAGGCCCACAACACGCACGGTGGCCACCCATAGGCCCACAACATGCACGGTGGCCACCCATAGGCCCACAACATGCACGGTGGCCACCCATAGGCCCACAACACGCACGGTGGCCACCCATAGGCCCACAACACGCACGGTGGCCACCCATAGGCCCACAACATGCACGGTGGCCACCCATAGGCCCGCAACACGCACGGTGGCCACCCATAGGCCCGCAACACGCACGGTGGCCACCCATAGGCCCGCAACACGCACGGTGGCCACCCATAGGCCCACAACACGCACGGTGGCCACCCATAGGCCCACAACACGCACGGTGGCCACCCATAGGCTCACAACACGCACGGTGGCCACCCATAGGCCCACAACACGCACGGTGGCCACCCATAGGCCCACAACACGCACGGTGGCCACCCATAGGCCCACAACATGCACGGTGGCCACCCATAGGCCCGCAACACGCACGGTGGCCACCCATAGGCCCGCAACACGCACGGTGGCCACCCATAGGCCCACAACACGCACGGTGGCCACCCATAGGCCCACAACACGCACGGTGGCCACCCGTAGGCCCACAACACGCACGGTGGCCACCCATAGGCCCACAACATGCACGGTGGCCACCCATAGGCCCACAACACGCACGGTGGCCACCCATAGGCCCACAACATGCACGGTGGCCACCCATAGGCCCACAACACGCACGGTGGCCACCCATAGGCCCACAACACGCACGGTGGCCACCCGTAGGCCCACAACACGCACGGTGGCCACCCATAGGCCCACCGTGGTGGCTCGACGCCGCAGGGATCACTCCAGTGTCACTGCAAGACAAAGGGGCAAGTGCTGCGAGCAAGTAGCAGCACCGATGAAGGCCGGCACAGCACACAAGGGGGGGTGGCCAGCACCACACCCGGACGTGTTTGCTTAAACACCGCACCAGGCAATCATTTGAGGCTGAGTTTACCTAAGGGAGGCCCAGGACTGGTTCAGATAATTATCACTTGTGTTGGCCGTGAGTGATAATTGAACCCGGTGCATTGGGTTCGTAGCGCAGGGCGCGAACCGCTGCGCTACCACTCCTCACACACACACAGGGGCACGTGCGTCCACGCACATGCACTCACTTTCACACACACACACTCACTTTCACACACTCACTTTCACACACACACTCACTTTCACACACACTCACTTTCACACACACTCACTTTCACACACACACACTCACTTTCACACACTCACTTTCACACACACACACTCACTTTCACACACACACTCACTTTCACACACACACACTCACTTTCACACACTCACTTTCACACACACACTCACTTTCACACACATCACCACACACACACACTCACTTTCACACACTCACTTTCACACACACACTCACTTTCACACACACTCACTTTCACACACACTCACTTTCACACACACACACACTCACTTTCACACACACACACTCACTTTCACACACTCATTTCACACACACACTCACTTTCACACACACTCACTTTCACACACACACACTCACTTTCACACACACACTCACTCACACACACTTTCACACACGCACTCACTTTCACACAGACGCACTCATTTCCACACACACACGCACTCACTTTCATACACACACACTCACTTTCACACACACACTCACTTTCACACACTCACTTTCACACACACACTCACTTTCACACACACACTCACTTTCACCACACTCACTTTCACACACACACACTCACTTTCACACACTCACTTTCACACACACACTCACTTTCACACACACACACTCACTTTCACACACACTCACTTTCACACACGCACTCACTTTCACACAGACGCACTCATTTCCACACACACACACACACTCACTTTCATACACACACACTCACTTTCACACACACACACTCACTTTAACACACACAGCCACTTTCACACACACTCACTTTCACACACACTCACTTTCACACACACACTCACTTTCACACACACACACACTCACTTTCACACACACACTCACTTTCACACACGCACTCACTTTCATACACACACACACTCACTTTCACACACAGACACTCACTTTCACACACACGCACTCACTTTCACACACACGTACTCACTTTCACACACACGTATTCACTTTCACACACAGACACTCACTTTCACACACACGCACTCACTTTCACACACACGTACTCACTTTCACACACAAGCACTCACTTTCACACACACTCACTTTCACAGACACACACTCACTTTCACACACATACACACGACCTCGGGGAGAGAAACTCCGCAGACTCCAAATATACAGCAGCAGCAGGCGTCAGGGTCGCGATCGAACCCACGACCTCCTGTGTACCGGGCGAGGTAGTTAACATCTCGCCAACCGCATCAGAAAATCCTCACAGAGATCACTAGTAGCAAAAGTAGCTACAAATGCTACGGGCGCCGCGCTTTCAAGGGCCCCGCGCTAAATGCTTTCAAGCTATCAATTCCGGTTCAGTGATTCTGCACTTGCTCAATTACTATAGTACTATACCGCCTTCAACTTTTATGAACGACTGGGTGTTTAAGGTTAGCGAGTTGTATTATCTGGCTGTATAGCAAATTAAAAAATACAATTACTTTACTATGCAAGTTAAACATTGTGTTTTAATATTTGTGTTTTTAATTTATTTAGGCCCCCATTATAACATACGCTACAGGCCCCGGAACTAGCTTAACCCGGCACTGGCACGGTGGTGTTCCATCTCCCGTCTCGTGTCCCCCCCCCCCACCTCCTCCTACAACCACCCCCCAGGTCGTGTCTGCAGGAGTGCCAGCTCGCTCTGTCCGAGCGAGCGGTGCGCATGCTGGCCGAGAGATTCAGGTAACGAGCTCGGAGGAGAAGGGTGTCCCCTGCTTCGCCATCCGCGATCCTCCCTCCCTCCCCCGATGCATCGCGACACGCCGGCTGCCAACATCGCAGGGGCAATCCACTTGTAAAGGTTGCCCATTGACTCCGAAATGACGCCTCCTCGTGCAGTCTCCGTCTTCTCAACGGGTGATTGAATCTAGGCCGTAGCCATGGAGTCAACATTGGGGGGGACCAAATCTTCCAGGGGGTCTGGGGGTCCCCTACCCAGAAAAAAAAAAATCTAAATTTGAAAACGAATTTCCTGCCTAAAATATAAAAAAGTCACTAACACATGGGATGGACTTTTTATTATTATTTTTAACAATAATGTCTAATAGTGTATTGCATTACATTGCTGTTTTTACTTTTGTACCATTTCTTGTTTCTTTTATGTAATGGTAGAGATTAGGGATTAATAAAGTACAACCATAACCACAATCATATAAACAGAAATATGTGCATTGATTTATACGAAGACAAGTCCAGATATTGTGGCCAAGGTTTAACAAATTGTTGTTTTTATTTACATAGCATAGCAATTATTTTTTATAACAATATATTGAGGGGGGGACATTTTGAGCATATTTGAATATTGGGGGGGGGGGGGAAGTGTCCGTCCCCCCCCCCCCCAATTTATATTATAATTACGGCCTTGGATTGAATTACCCGATTGTGAAAGCAATTTGCTCCGTGCAAGAGTCAGCGAGCGAGCTAGGAGGAGGAGCGGCTGTTAAAAAATGAAATCACTTTTTAATTCACTGCAGCCGGATTTGAAAGACGACGGTGTTTGGCTCCGTCATTAAGGGGTCGTACATAAATGACGTCACGCACCTAGGGGGGGGGGGTCAGACATTTGTGACGATGTGTGACGAGGGGGGGGGGTTTGAGAAATGTGACGTGACATCAAAATGTGCAACTTTAAATAAATATAGACAACACGTTCTACTTAATTAAATAGACTTTTTAATAAATGTTTCCTCCTACAACATCAGAGTGCAGCGCCACATTAAATACGCACTACAATGACAATAGTTTAAAGCGATTTGGAGCATGTTTTTGGGGGGGGGGGCAGAGCTTTGTGACGTCATATTTGAGGGGGGGGTCTGACTTTGTGACGCCGTGTGACGATGGGGGGGAGGGGGGGGTAAAAAAAAATCGTACAAAATCGCGTGACGTCATTTATGGACGGCCCCTAATTCCTTATTATTGTCGTGGGCTCTCTATAAATGGACCACCTCGTGTGTTATGACGTCGCACGGTGTATACAGCATTAGTGTCCGTGTGTAACACATGTACATGTATAACACACACATGTGTAGTACACAGGTACGCGTGTGTAACTGCTGGATGAGGAACTTCTCATCGCCTTGCGAGTCGTGGGGGGGGCAGGGGGGGGTGACCATACTTCACCACGCGGGGCGGTGCGAGTTTGGTGAAAGCGTGGAGCGTGTGAGTGATGTGCAACAATGGGTTTCCCTGCACTCCCCTCTGCTGTGCACAACGTATCAACACACACGTGTGTGTGGGAGCTAGGCCTTGGCAAGGTAAGGTAATTGACCCTTGACATGCCAAGGGGTAAGGTAAAGGGTACAGGGTAAAGGTAGCGCGAAGTGTTACCCGGTAAATACGGTGCCTTGTTGACCGCTAAAAGCTCCGTGGCGCAGTCCGTGGCCTCCGTTTAATAAGTAATATTGTGGTAAGGTAAAAGGTGGGGTAAACATAGACTCGTTTTTACCTTTTAACTTTTACCTTACCTTGCCGAGGCCTAGTGGGAGCAGGGCCCGTCCATAGGTGTGACAAGTCACACTGCGGGCTCCCCCTGCCACCCACAACGCCTTCAAACTAAACCGGCAGTATTAATTACACCCGGCAGCGTGCAACGTGGAAACGCGGGGCCCTTTAAAGTGCGGGGCCCGGGGCGGTCGCTCCTAATCGCCGCCGCCGCATGCAGAGCCTGTAGCATATGTTATAAAGGGGCCCTGAATAAAAATAATATTAAAACACAAATTTTATTGTTTCATTTGCTATACAGCCAGATAATACGACAAATCGCTATGCTTAAACGCCCAGTCGTTCATAAAAGCTGAAGGCGGTATAGTACTATAGTAATAGAGCAAGTGCAAAATCACCGAACCGGAATTGATAGCTTGAAAGCATTTAGCTACATATCTAGCTACTACATATGTAGCTACTTATGTAGCAAATACAGATGTAGCTACTACTTATGTAGCAAATACACGTGTAGCTACTACACGTGCAGCTACTTGTGCTGCGGGGATAACCCGGCACTGCAGAGGACGTTCTCTGTGTGTCGGGCGTTCGTGGTGGTGGTGCGAGATTTGACGTTGGGTCCACGTCGCCCTCTCCAGGTGTCGCGATCCTCACGCCCACGGGATGTCATCACGGCCGCTCGGGGCCTTCCTGCAGCAAGCCCAGCTGAGGACCGGTAACCATGCCCCCCCCCCCCCCCCATAACATTAACACCAGATACCCATTTGAGGCTGAGTCGACCTAGGGGAGGCCCAGCATTGGTTCAGATAATTGTCACTGGTGTTGGCCGTGAGTTGGGAATTGAACTCGGGTCACCGTGTCCCTAGCGCAGTGCGCTAACCGCACTGGGAGAGTGGGGCCTCCATGGTGGTGGAGGGTTTAACGACACATGTATATATTTACGCGATCTAACCCAACACAAATACATTATTATGATGCCTTGACATCCTGTTGGGGGCAAATGCTGTTAGCGAGCATTTATGAAGGCTGGCACGGCACACGGGGGGGGGGGGGGGGGTGAGTGACCAGCACCACACCCGACCACCTTTGTATCCCAAGTGGCGATGTTTACACACCGCACCAGGTACTCATTTTAGGCTGAATAAACCTAGGGGAGGCCCAGGACCGGTTCAGATAATCGTCAATGGTATTGGCGATGAGCAGGAATTTAACGTGGGTGGCCGGGCTCGTAGCGGAGTACACGCTAACCGCTACATTACCACTCGAAACACTCACACGCAAGCACGCACACACGCACTTGCACGCACGCACACCCATCATGCATGACATCTTCTCCCACCCCAGCTGGACAGCACTGCCATGCGGACGTCCCACTTGGCCAGGCATCACTCCCCGGCCAAATGGCTTCCTCTCCCAGCCACATGTCCCTCCCAGCCAGATGAACCCCTAGGGTGCACGCCACCCTGACCACCATATGTTGGATGCCACCAACACCATAATCGAGACTTTATTTTATTCACACGATCGCCAAGATTCCCAATATGAATGGCATCATCTCGTCTGTTTTCTTGAATATAAAGAAAATGTGCTTTTTAATAGTATTATAATTTCATGTTATATAGCGTCATTAATGCTAATTGCATCCCGCAACGCTGTAAATTAATGATATATGAAGGCCAAATTCTATATATAGCGACCACCAAGCAAATGAACACCCTCATAAAATCAAAAATTAATCCACAAATAAAGAAATCGCACGAAAGAGAAATCGGCACAAACAACAAAAAGTGATCACAACAGAGAAATTCTCCCATTAAGTCACATCTCAGACCGCAACGCCGACTTCTGACACATTCCAAGTTGCTATGAATCTGCTCAACGGACGGATGATTGTTTTTTCCTCACCCACAGTCCGTAGTAAATTATGATACTTTAGAATTGAGTTTTTTTTTATTTTAATCAAAGTACGATGCCCGGTAGATGCCCAGTGGTCGAGACTAACAATGGAGTAGCAGCCAAAGGCAGAAACACCCAATAGTAATACATCCACAACGGAGATGGATCAATGAAGTGAGCTTGTGTGCAGGTGCCACGTGGTTTGTTCTATTGCAGAGGCCTTCATCTAGCAGTAGATTGATGCAGGCTGATGATGATGATCATGTGTATTGGTTAATTGTACAAGTTATAATGACTTAGTACATGTTGCACTTGCGGAATTCTTGTCGCGTGAGGGTATCAGTAGGGGGCAACGTTGCCACGTGCTTTTATCCGTGAAAGTGATTTAGGGGTAATTTAAAAATTTGTCAAAATGGAGTGAACGTATCTCTACCAACCAACGCACTCACCTGGATGTTATCATTTAACACGTGCTACTCAAAAATGGTAAATGTTGTGGTTTCACGCTTCAACACACCGGTGGGCTAAAGCAGTGAACTATTTGTCTTTTGTCAACGTGACACTTTTTTACTGATTGGCCGTGTCGGGTGGTGGAGGGTTACGACACATTTATAAATAACGCGATCTAAACCCCAAAAAACCCGTTGATTTTAAATAATATATATTTTAACAACGCAAGAGGGTAACCTAGGGGAGAGGCCTTCACCCAGCGGTGGATAATGACAACGACGTGCCCTCCCCCCCACCCAGGTTCAAGTTCAAGTTCATTTATTAGGTATAGCCCTGTGAGCCATTCGGCTCTTGAATCAGGTGCAACCGCAACAAACAAAAAACATGAACAAAAAACATCTGAAAGTGAATATGTGACTAAGTGCAAATAGAAATCCAAGAAAAGACAGCAAAACATTGCAGAAAAAAATCACCGTACACCAACGCTGTGTGCAAAAATCCCAGTGGGATGCAAGTCAAACAACCAACAACAACCACAAGACAACTTAGATTAAGGCCATCAGTCTAACGCTGTACTACAACAAACCAATATACTTTTCGAAATCACCAAAATAAAGCCATGAAAGCAATGAAACAGCGATCATAGGAACTGTGACGGAATTTTCACAATAAACGGCATAAACAACATGTACTACCAAAACCCTGCAGCCATAGCTGGCTGCATGAGTCACTCCACAACAGCAGGAGCATCAATCGGAGTATTATAATTTTTCAATGTAGGTCGTGACAGCGTGCGCGCCGCGCTGCGAGCGAGGGCCCAGCGGGCGCCGGGGTGCCACGACGCTCGGGACGCCGCCGACAGGGCCCTGCTGGCCTCGCTGGGCGCCGCGCTGCTCCGCCACTCGCCGCCGCACTTCCAGCCGGAGGAGCTGCGCGAGATCCTCGAGGAGCGGGCCAGAGGGCGCCACATCATCGCCCACAGAGAGGTGCGGGCGCCGCGCTTCGGACGCTTTCACCGCCACGGAAGGGGTTTTCGGAGGGAGGCGTGAAAGGGTCAAGGAGCAGACCGTGCCGGTTGCCGTCGCGCGCCGCTGCTGGTGGAAGGGCCTCCGGCTTAGGGAGCCCGTCTCCAGAGGGTGTTTTTTTGGCCGAGCTACGTCTTGAAACTTTGTTTTGTTGTGATATCGCTCGGTGGACGGAGGCTGGGGAAATTTAAGAAAACTTGCCCATTTCAACCGGCACGTTGAGAGACTGAACTGGAAAACCTCCAGTGCGCTAACCAAAACCACCACGAGGTCCTTTCAGATCTGGGGGCCCGTGGCAAACTGCCCCAAGTACCCCCTCCCATCCTGCGGCCTTGGCTTCATCACGGACATAATGGGCATGGTCAAGCATGGCTAAGACCACGAATAAAAACCAGCATTCAATGAATTACGAGTAAAGTTGGCGTATTCCAGCACCACGAACGTAGACTTTGCTCGCCAACGTACACAGCGATGCCGTGCACATGTACACAAAGCGTGCCGCCTATTTATATCCGGTGAGCAGGTGCGACGCGTTGTTGTCCCCCCGCCGCGCAGATGACCACTTCGTGCCGGGAGGCTCGCCTGCCCGTGCACGGCCCCCTCCTGGGCCGCCTGATGGCGCGGTGCAGCCAGCAGGAACGCGGCGCCGGGATCCGGTAAAAGCAATCGCGGTGGGGGGTGGGGGGGGGCGAACGAACGCTGCGCGCCGTTGACGGCCGCCGCCACCGTGCCCGCACGGCGGTGGCGGGCAGGAGGAGATAACCCAACCCAGCCCGCCGCTGTCGTTCTCACGAATAAACCGCCAGTTCCTTGGAGGGAGCAGGGGGGGGGGGGGCCTTAATGCCGCTCACGAAAACTCGCCATTCGAGATGTTCATCGACGAAGTTGCTTCGGTCGACGGTGGCTGTGAGCGGGACAGAAATGAGCCAAGCGGGAGGGAGGGTGGTCGCGATGACCGCGCGCACGTAGAGACCACGCGGCGCGACGCACTGTGGACGAGACACGAATTTAACGAGTCTTGAGTGAGGACGCAGACTCAAGAGTGTTCAGTCGCGTTCCTGGAGGCCGCGGTGCAACTGAGCAGGACCAACATTGGCAATTGGCCACATGTGTGCATGCAATGTTTATCGAGTTCAACAATTTGCTGATAATATTTAATACCTTTGGGCAGGGGAAATTGCGCACCCCTCACACCAAGATGTCACCACGGTGGGTGATTGACTCATTTCAATTGACTCGACCGAGACCAACAATGGTGACTTGGTAACAACCAAGGGTGGGCCAACGGGGCAGGCAGCAGCAGGCAGCAGCGGGCAGCGCAGAACAAATTCCACCGTTGTACCGTACCTCTGTGCTCCCCGTCTTCAGCCCGCACTGACCTGCGTGGTGAAGTATGGTCAGATAACCGTCTCGCAACCCGCACGGCATACGGAGGCACTCATCTGGCAGTGGATTGACAAAGAGCTGTGCACGTACACGTGTGCAAGAAGCCAGCGGTGGCAGAGCGATGGTAAAATGGTCGGGGCACTGCGCCATAAACTCGGCCACACGGGTGAGATTGGCGGCCTCGGCTACATCTCTGGTGAGTGGTATCGGCCGTTCTAGCCGGGTCGCCGTTGAAAAAGAGCTCCTGAGCTCAAAGGGCCTGACCATTATTAATTTTATAGATATAGAAACAGTCTTGGGCCCTTCCTTCACACGACACTGTCCAGTGTGCTCTCCGCATTCGTATTCTTCTTGTTGATGTAGATGCAGAGCGAGATCGACAATTGCGCATCAGGACCGGCGGAGTAGTGTAATCGCTGTGATGTCCAGTATGGTGAAGTATGGCTCAACAACCGCCCAGTACGAACAGCGGCGTGTTGGAAGGCCTCAGTTCAGCAGTGAATTGACAAGGATCCCCCAGGCAGATTTACTGTCACTCTTGGCTTTGTGCGGTTGATTTTTTGTTGTTCTGTGCTTTTACACTATGGCCAATGTAGTCCATTAACTCCTCCGTCACTTTAACAAGACTTCTAGATTTGAAGTTTTCATGACTGCAAGGATCCATACTCTTTGGTTCTTTCGGTAAAGTCATGTAGGTGAAAAATAATAATAATTAAAAAAAATAAAAAAAATGAAAATAACGAAATTTAGTTATTTTAAAACAAAAATAATACTAAAAATAATAAAATGAAAATAACTAAATTTATTTATTTTCATTTTATTATTATTTTTCATCTACGTGACTTTACCAAGACTTTTCATCAAAGTAAAACAACAGCGCTGAAACATCACGATGTTATTGAGGATCTGCAATATAACCGTCCTGGTGCTTTCTCAATGCAGCTGGCCCGACTTCCTGGAGTTTCTCTCCGAAGCTCTGCAGAGCGACGCCACCGAGGTCCCGGCTGAGACGGCACCGCCAGGCTCCGCTCTTCTGCCGGCGCCGATAAACACCACGACGCCAGCACCGGGCTCCAGCGCAACGCCGGCTCCAAGCTCCGACGCGTCCAGCTCCGCCACGACACCGGCGCCAGCGGCGACATTGTCCGACGAGCGGAGCGCGATGCCACCGCCCAAAGCTCGCTCCGGTGCGATGGCACGGCAAGCGGGGCCGCCTCGTCTCGACCGTCAACCGATGCCGACAGACGCAGCGTCTGACGAGCGAGGAGCCACCGTCCGTTCGAGGCATCAAATCAGCACGAGGGCGAGCGTGAAAGCGTCCACCGAGGAGAGATGTGCGGTCGCGACGGCGCCGGGGCGTGCCGCCCGCACCGCGGACACTCTCGCCGGGCACGTGCAGCCGAGCGTCGGCGATGACGGCGGCAGCGGCAGCAGGAACGTCGTCGCGGGCACGTGGCCCGGCACGGAGCGGCAGATGGAGCAGCTGCAGGCACCGGCGAGGGTCCCAGAGGTCACGGCGCAGAGCGGGGCAGACGTGACCTTTGAACCCATGCCGCTAGGGTCGAAGGTCACCGTCTCTGATGTCGGATCGGCATCTGAGCAGCAAGCTGTGCCTCCAAGTAAGAGCGCAGCAGCAACACATTTTGAAGGGATTTTCAAGTTAGGACACTCTGATGTGGTTGCATTGCAAGTTGTTGAAAACTCGTGATGTAATTATTAATCAAGCACAGTAGAAAATCGACTGGCCGCAACTATTTTATTCTAATAATAGATTGTATTTTGTTCATCAACCTTAATCACAATCTTAGTTTGTTTTATCTTCAGCAGCAACTACAAATGTAACACCTGGTTGATAGCGCTAATATTTTACGATCCATATTTAACAAGGACAACCCCTTGAGATTTACATCACCTTTCCAAGGGGTTCTGACATACTCTCACTTAGCTCAGGTCTAATTTAGCCGCGTGGTACTGGTAGTACCCTCCTGGTTACACCAGCCCACATAGGATTATTTTGTCCGTCCGTCGTGCATCCAAAAATGGGAGGGGTGGGGCTGGGTGGAGAGGGAAGGGTGGGGAGGAGCTGGGTGGGGAGGGAGGGGCTGGGTGGGGAGGGTGGGGAGTGGCTGGGTGGGGAGGGTGGGGCTGGGTGGGGAGGGGCTGGTCACCCCGTGGTGCCTTTATAAAACTCAACGTTTAACCTACTCACGCCGGCTCGGGCATATTTGCGGAATACACCACGCCGCCGTTGACCCTGGCCATTGACCGAGCAACCCAACGTTACTACCAGCTCCCTCCGCAGGAATGTGTTTTAAGGGAGTTAACGGGGTTATAGTACTGAGCCGGCACCACTCATTCAGCAGTGGATCAACAAAGGAGTATAACGACACACATATTTACGCGCTCTAACCCCACAAAAACCTTTTATTATGGATATCGGTTGCGAAAGCCTCCGTGTTGAACTGAAGGAGAGAAAAGATAAAAAAAAAACTAACGAAAATAAAACATCGACTTTTCCTTTGCTCCACCGCTACCACAGGCAGCAGTAAAACCAGACTGCCACCGTCTCGTCAAGGTGAGCTGCAGCCGCCCAAGGCTCCCACGAAGACGACGAGAGGTTTCTTCAGCGCACTGAGGGCGGCGCTGTCGGGCGCGTCCAAGGAGCTGATGGACGCCCCGGGCGGGGGGTCCTCGCGGGGACTCGACCCGAATGGCCCCCACGCAGCTGCCCCTCTCCCGAGCCGCCCCCTCGGCGCCAAAGATGAAACCCGTAAAAATGTTTTTTGTCCTTTATGGTTTTTATTCTTTCATCCCTCTACCGGTGACTCACGTCGGCGCAAGGCTGACGAAGTCTCCGGTTCGCGCTCAGTTGGGATTGCGGTGCATATTTCATGATTGTTATTGATATCACGGCCTCACTTTGATGCACACTCTGCCCTCCCGACTCCCGTTTGCATTTGCACACTTTACAAATGCAGAGACAGTTTTTTTCAATACCATATGCAAGAGTTTTCTATTTTTGCAATGGCTTGGATAGCCCATAATCGGAGAGTGGGTTAATCACGGTGGCTGCTGATGAGAAGTTTTTCCTTAAAAGAGTGATATCTTGGCACGTTGCTGCTCAGAAACAGTCGCACAAAGGCATTTTTTTTCCACTGCAGAAGCCAAGTCGTGCCATTTTCACACGCAATAAATGAGCCGATACGCATCTATGTGGCACGGTGACGCTGTGCCCTCACAGCGTACTGACTCGCGTCACGCGCAACGAAGGCCCGCCATCCCTGGCCCTGCTTGGCCCCGAGCCAGATTCAGACGCCTTGCGAGGTCAACGTTTCACGGTTTTGTTCTGGCTTGGCACGGTGAATGGTCAGTGGAGAAACCACCCATGCCGTGATGGTCCTATGCTGGCATGGCTTTTGTGCCAGTGGAAACAGAGGAAAATTAGTGTTACGTAACACATCTGACTTCTCAGTAAAATTGGACAGCAAAGGCTAAAAACGCACTCAAATAAACATTTTTTTCAATTGTATAATAAATATCCAAAGTTTTTGTTTAAGATTCAGGAGTTGTATGCCTTCTCTAATCCTATTAAGATGACAGTTTGGCCCAAGAATGCATCACCGAGTTTATTATGCTCATGATGTTTCCATGGACCTCGCCACAACAGGTCGACTAGGAATGCAGTATGCCAACAACTCTTCATAACTATGCGATTTCATACAGCCGCGTGTTATTTTGTAACAAACAAGGATTTGTCCGTTACTCAAGAGCTCCTTTTCGGTAACTATTCATGCCTATTTAAACACAGTTCATCAAGAAACTTAAAAAAAAATGTAATTCTCACAAGGCCTCAGTATAAAGTGCAGTCTCAAACTCCATTAATCCATTCTGTCTCTCTTCTGACCTATTTATGCGCCATCAAAAAAAGCCATGGCCCGAAACGTCGTCTATTATCCATCGGACATTAACGCTGAGCGTCTGCGCTTGCTTTCCAGTGGACTTCTCGCGCACAGAGAGCGTCGCGGTGACGGTGAACGGCAAGGCGCTCACGTGCCGCGTGGACGAGCGGCACAGGAGGGTCGCGGCTTTCCCCGGGGATCCGCCGGCATCCGCCCCGGTGCTCGAGTGGGTGTACGTGTCGCACGGCGCGGGCACGGCAACCGTGACGTTACCAAACGGTCACGTGCCGTCCGGCTGGGTGGCTCCGTGGATCTTGGTTGAGGTTTTATTTTGCCAAAGGGTCAATGCTCATTGGGACCTGGTTACACCATAGAAACCTGATTGAAAGCTTTCGTGACTGCAGGGATTCATCTTCTTGGTTCTTTCGGTAAAGTCACGTAGAATGTAAATAATAAAATAATAAGAATATAATAATAATAATAAAACATAAAATAATTCTCACGACGTTTCGGCCAAAACGTCGTGAGAATTATTTTATTATGTTTATTTTTTATTGTTTTATTATTTTATTATTTCCATTCTACGTGACTTTACCGAAAGAACCAAGAAGATAGAAACCTGGTTACACCATAGAAAACTGGCTACTCAATAGAAACCTGGTTACTACAGATAATGTGAACGCTATCCAAAAACGACTGTGCAGACTCAGGGTTCCGGATGGCAAGGCCGTGCATCAACTTGGTGCGACGGGAGGCAGCCGACCCACAATAGGAAGGGCATGAGCTTGGTGACGACTCGGCCAATCGTAACCCCCAGGGCTGGTGAAATAATAATAATAGTAAATAATAAGTGTCGCTTTGTAGAGACATGGGCCTCTCGCCAAATCGCTAGGATATTTTTCTGGATCTAAAAACAGCCTGAGCCGAGACCGTGCTTGCATGGGTGACCACCACGCACGGGCCGGTTGCTATCGGCTGACGCGGGGCGACGCGGCGAGATGTTAACAACCTCACCTGGTATACAGGGGGTAGTGGGTTCGATCCTGACCCCGACGCCTGTATATTTCGAGCTTGCATGTTCTCCCCGTGGTCGCGTGGATTTTTCTCCGGGTCCTCCGGTTTTTCCTTCCACATTTAGAATCAGCATCACGGTGTTTAGAGCTTTTGGTTGCTATACACTTCCACGTGATAAGCCACTTCGTTGAGCTATTCTTTGCGGCCAGGTCGCTTCTGAAATGAGCTACAGAGCTCAGTGGGCCTTACCTGGTAAAATAAAAAATTGTTTGTTTTTACTTACGCGGTGGGCAGGAGAGAGCAGTTCAACAAGACCCAGAGCTCTTGCGTCCTGCTGCCACACTTTCACGCTTAACGCCTTCACCGACCCGTAGTGAGCAGGCGTGGTGAAGTGCACTCCATCAACCCGATGGTCCACTCGGCACAGGGCATGTGCTCATCCAGCAGTGGACTGATAAAAAATTAACCCGTAAAAACAAAGTTTTTCACTATAAATCCTTTATATGCGTGGCAGCTAGAGTCCTCTCGTCCTCTGGCTTGAAATGGCTGCCACCTATGGGTCAGATGATTGTCTGCCAGCATTAAGCAATTGGTAATTAAAGATAAAAAATTCCTAGAAAGTGTAAAGTTATAGAAAAAAATTTTCACGAAAATAAATTGTCACGCACAACGAGTCTGTGTGCAAAATGTCAGCTCGATTGGATCACGGGAAGTGGGTTAAAAAACGACCGAAATATTTGCACGGTCCTAAGCAAGCAAGCAAGTGAACTTAATATAAAGGATTTTTTAAAAAAGGGCCGTACGCGTACGCACGTGCGATTATGGATTAAATGACCGCGAGTCGTAGGACTGTGGAATTTATGGCGCTGGATTAGGGCTAATGGAGGTGAAAGTGGCACACACGGGTCCAGCGCTCGTTTGATCACTGGGGCCGCTGTGGCTTCTGACTCACGTTTAATGCAAGCGCAGACGAGCATCTAATGGGAGTCACAACATGGACCGAGGGGAAGTGGTGGTGAACCCAACGGCCTTCGGTGCGGTTCCCGGACACGGCTAACATCAGTGGCAAGTGATATCTGTACTGGTATTGGGCCGACCCCCCTTCCACCAACACATGTCGATCGGTGTGGTGAAGTATGGTCAAACAACCCCCTATTGACTGGCAAAGCAAGCACGGAATGACTTCGCTCAGCAGTGTGTTGGCAAAAGGCTGCAATCTTGCACACGTACAGGCGCGTTGGTCACTCCACTGCTGGATGACGGCCTTGCCACGCCGCGCAGTCTGCGAGGGTGTTTGGACCATACTTTACCGGTCAGTGCTGGTTCGAGGAGGGGAGGGGGGTGATTGGCAGGAGTACAGAACAACGATCGATTATGCTACACTGTTTTACGAAGGTTATTTTTTCGTTGTTAAAATCAGCACGCATTTTAAAAGGCTGAGTTGGCGTGCGGCCGCTAGAATGAAAGCCTCCACACACACACACTTCACCACCGTCATCGTCACAATTAACAAACGCCGCTTTGTAGTAACTGAATATAAAATATAACGAGCTCGAGTTTCCACGCGGCGGGTCACGACCCGGGAGGGGGGGGGGGGTCACAAAGGGGCCCAGAGGGTGGCGAGGAAGGAGCCTCGAATTACAGCGCGAAGGAGAACGTCTAATTAGAAACAGTGCCGGTGGGCTCGCGGCGGCGCGCACTCGCACTTGACAATGGCTTTGAGTGGATGTCGCGATTCCAGAGCGCGAGAGGGAAATTCCCGCAATGAGATGAACATTCAGAACATATATGCAGGGACGGGTCTCTTGGAGTTTCTCTTGCTTGATACAGCAATCGTGCTGTGACGGTTCCACCTGAAGACGGAAGCTTGTGTTGCCTCCGAAACGTCGTGATTTTTATTTTATTTTTATTTTACTTTTATTAATTTTAAGTAAAATTTTTTACCTACGTGACTTTACCGAAAAAACCTAAGAATGTGAATCCTTGCAGTCACGAAAGCTTCAAATCTAGAATGAACATTCGGAGCCAAGGCACCTTCCCTTCGCTCGCGCCGCGGACTAAAAAAATCGCCTGTTCGTTCTCGCGAAATCCCACCACCGCCCGCGCCGAAGATCAAATCGCGCCAAAGAGCAAATCGTGCAGAATGCGTGCACTGTCGCCGGCATGGCAGAGAGCGAAGCTACTTCGAGGCTGCGCGGCGCTGGGATGGGCGACCGCCGTGCACCACGCAGCGTCGCCGGAGGCTGTCGCGCCGCGTTGTTGTTGTTGTTGCAGGGCGCGGTTCAGCAGAATCTGTTGTTGTAATGTACCTCGAGACTCCCGAAAACAGGTTTTTTTTGGTAAGATTGCGTAAATATGAATGTGTTGTTAAACCCGCCACCACCCGACACAGCCAATTAGTAAGGTTTGTCGCGCAGGGTGTTTCAAAAAGATGGACCCGATTTGAAATCGCTATATCTCTGCAACCACGAACCGCCCATGAATTAAACTCTTACTACTTGAAAGGGCGGGGCATAGAGAGGGCGGGGCATAGAGAGGGCGGGGCATCGAGTTTCAAATGATTACCGCTGGATGCCTCTCCCAGCGGACAAACAGCCCCTAGCCTCAGTCATTCGCAAGATGGCGACCCCACAACACAAGGGGCGTTTTGCGTTCTGCAGTTCAGCAAGACTGAATCCGTAATTGCGGTGCAGCGTGCGTTTCAACGGCGTTTTGGCATTGATCCGCCAATGTCAAAGAGCATTCGTCGTTGGTACCGACAATTTGAGGAAACAGGCTGTTTATGTAAGGGCAAGAGCACAGGGCGACCACCAGAGGTGGGACAAAGTCATTGTTATGCAAGTCCAAGTCGAGTCTGAAGTCATCAAATTCATGACTCGAGTCCAAGTCACATGACTCGAGTCCACACCTCAGAGGTGGGACAAAGTCATTGTTATGCAAGTCCAAGTCGAGTCTGAAGTCATCAAATTCATGACTCGAGTCTGACTCGAGTCCAAGTCACATGACTCGAGTCCACACCTCTGGCGACCACGCACCTCAGAGGAAAACGTGAGAAGAATTCAAGAGAGTTTTCTGCGTAGCCTTGTGATGCGGTGTTACAGAACATGGAGGACGACAGCTTCTTATCGCTAGATTTGAAGCTTTCGTGACTGCAAGGATTCATACTCTTAGTTTAAAATTAATAAAAATAAAACAATAATAATAATACAATTATTGTTTTATTTTTATTAATTTTTATTTCATTTTTTACCTACGTGATTTTTAGCGATGAAGCAACGTTTTATCTAAGCGGTAAAGTTAACCGTCACAATGTGCGCATATGGGGATTAGAGAATCCACACGAAACTGTAGAGCATGAGAGTAATTCCCCGAAAGTGAACGTGTTTTGTGCCGTTTCTCAAAGCAAGGTTTATGGCCCTTTCTTTTTCGAGGGAAACACAATTACGGGGCAAGCGTATCTCGAAATGCTGCAGAAATGGCTCTTTCCACAACTTGATGAAGATTCCAATGACTTCATTTTTCAACAAGATGGAGCCACCGCCACATTGGCACCTGCAGGTTCGACTTTTTATAAACGACACACTGCCTCAACACTGGATAGGTCACACGGGACCCCAAGACTTGGCGCTACACTCTTGGCCCCCAAGATCCACAGACATCACACCCTGCGACTTTTTCTTGTGGGGATACGTCAAAGGCCGTGTTTTTGTGCCACCATTAGCGACAATTTTGGATGACCTCAAAAACAGAATCACGGCAGCGGTGACTTCAGTGGAAGAAGACACTTTGAGAGGCGTTTGGGACGAATTCAACTATCGTCTCGATGTTGTCCGTACAGCAGGTGGAGGGCACATAGAGCATTTATAAAATGGTTAATAAAACTTGATATCTCATTAAACCGTTTGTAACTTTTTGTGTAATTATAACGTTGCCATCGTGATATATACTGAATTGAAATTGGGTCCATCTTTTAAAACACCCCGTATAAACGACACATTTATATTTACATGATCTAACCTCAAAAAACCTCTATTTATGGATGATATTGGTCGCGAAAGCCTACTACGTGTTAAACTGTCTATGCCCTCCGCTTTTAGCCACCCGCACCGATCAGCGTCGTTAAAGTTTGCACACGAATATCATTATATTTGAATCCATCAGCCCGTTGGCTTTCTAAATGGGTATTATCAAAGCAGCATTCAAGCAAGCAAACTCTGGAGTGGTTTCAACCTTCTGTGTCTCTCAACGGCAGTCAGGCGTGTGAATGAAATGTTGGTGGATTTGCCAGACATCACTGGAACCCCGTTCCGCACGAACAGCAACACAGTACGCAATCTCCCCCACGCTGCGTCGTGGGGCAGGCCCTCATCCAGCAGTGGATCGACGAAAGGGCCGCCCGTGTACGTCCCCCTCGTAACGCTCGCGGTTGCCGGTTCCCGACGCCAAACAGTCGCCCACCGCTCTGGCCTAGCGCCGCAGTCAGGCTTTTATGGCTTTATTTTGGTGATTTTTGAAAAGTTTTTCGGTTTGGCCATGTTTGTTTGTTGTAGTACAGAGTTAGACTGATGGCCTTAATCTAAGTTGTCTTGTAGTTGTTGTTGTTGTTTGACTTGCATCCCACTGGGATTTTTGCACACAGCGTTGGTGTACGGTGCTTTTTCTGCAATATTTTGCTGTCTTCTTGGATTTTCTGTTTGCACATAGTCGCTTTAAGATGTTTTCTTGTTCATGTTTTTTTTGTTTGTTGCGGTTGCACCCGATTCAAGAGCCGAATGGCTCACAGGGCTACACCTAATACATGAAACTTGAAACTCTCGCGGCGACGTGCGCGGCGGGGAGGCCCTCATCCAGCGGTGGCTGCACGTGACGCACGCGCGGCCTCTGCCCACAGATACGGCCACAGCGGCCGTGACTGCCAGGGAGGCCTGGTGCTCACGGGAGACGCCGAGCTCGTGTACCCCGTGGGGCTGCTCGTCGTCGTCCTCAACCCCGAGCGGCGCACGCAGAGCATCTACAGCGAGCACACGGCGCACATCACCAGGTGACTCGCACAGCGGCACGCTGGCACGGGTGGGGCGGCGCGGGGGGCAGTCTGGAGGAGGGGTCAACGTGGGGGTGGCTCCAGTCTAGAGGGGTCAAGGTGGGGATGGCTCAGTCTATAGGAGGGGTCAAGGTGGGGGTGGCTCCAGTCTAGAGGAGGGGTCAAGGTGGGCGTGGATCCAGTCTAGAGGAGGGGTCAAGGTGGGGGTGGCTCCAGTCTAGAGGAGGGGTCAAGGTGGGGGTGGCTCCAGTCTAGAGGAGAGGGGTCAAGGTGGGGGTGGCTCCAGTCTGGAGGAGGGGTCAAGGTGGGGGTGGCTCCAGTCTAGAGGAGGGGTCAAGGTGGGAGTGGCTCCAGTCTAGAGGAGGGGTCAAGGTGGGGGTAGCTCCAGTCTAGAGGAGGGGTCAAGGTGGGGGTTGCTCCAGTCTAGAGGAGGGGTCAAGGTGGGGGTGGCTCCAGTCTAGAGGAGGGGTCAAGGTGGGGGTAGCTCCAGTCTAGAGGAGAGGTCAAGGTGGGGGTGGCTCCAGTCTAGAGGAGGGGTCAAGGTGGGGGTGGCTCCAGTCTAGAGGAGGGGTCAAGGTGGGGGTGGCTTCAGTCTAGAGGAGGGGTCAAGGTGGGGGTGGCTCCAGTCTGGAGGAGGGGTCAACGTGGGGGTGGCTCCAGTCTAGAGGAGGGGTCAAGGTGAGGGTGGCTCCAGTCTAGAGGAGGGGTCAAGGTGAGGGTGGCTCCAGTCTAGAGGAGGGGTCAGGGTGGGGGTGGTGGCAGCAGCTGCCCCGTACAATAAGCACATCACCACAACTCTCAAACAGGGGCAATGCATCATCCCATGGTACAGAACACTTTCTGAAATGTGGTTTTATAAGAGAACTACATCTGAGATCCCTTCCATTGCATCGCATTCACAAAGTCGCAGAGCTTCTCACATGCCCTGCGACAGAGATGTTCGCTACACGACAATCAGCCTAATATGATCGGGGCTGTTTTTGTGCGGTCATTGATTACTACGCTAAGGCCCTGAACCCACGACACCTGGGAGCCCGGTTGAATCACAGCTGCCTGGAATCCGCCAGTGATGTCCGAGTCTATCACTGTTATGACGTCACCTCACGGCTTGGGGAAGTCTTCACTCGGTAGTGGATAGAATATGGCTGATGATGATGATGATGACTGAGTAACCTTTAACGTGGTATTCAGCAGGTCGTGGGTTTGATCCCGACCCTGACGCCTGTTGTATATTAGTAGATTGCATGTTCTCCCCGTGGTCGCCTGAATCATCATCACGGCGTTTAGAGTATTTGGCTGCCGTACATTTCCACGTGATAAGCCGCCTAGTTGGGCCATCATTTCTGAAAAAGAGCGATATAGCTCCGTGGGCCTTAAACGAATAGAATGCCAACGTCTTCCCGTCCCAGCATGGCGCTCCACCCAGACCAGCGCACGATGGCGACGGCGCAGGGAGACAAGGCCGGCGCCGTCGACGACGAGGAGCGTGAAGACGAGCCGGATGCGGGGCGTGGCCGGGCTGGAGGCGGAGCGGGACGCCCGCGGAGCGCGCACGTGCGCCTGTGGCGGAGCGACTCGCTGCAGACGCTGCTGGTTCTGGGCGCCGGCCTGCTTGGGCCCGGGCCCGTCATCAGCCTGGACTTCAGCGGCGCGGCGGCGACGGCGGCGCCGCTGCTGCTGGCGGCGGGGGGCGGCCCGGCGCACGTGCTGCTCGTGTGGGAGCTCGGGGTGGAGCATCGGCGCCTGCTGAGCGCCACGCTCGCGCAGCACGAGAGTCAGCTCCGCCTCACCTGCGTCAGGTGAGCCCACAGATGGATTCGTACCCCCCGGTGGCTCCGAACAGGCTCAAGGCTGAGCTCTCTCAACAAGGTTCTGTGTTGGGATGTTGGGAAATTTACTTTTTTGAGTTTTTTTGCTTGTGGGAAGAGACCGGAGTATCTGTAAAAAAACAACCCAGGCATACGATGGAATGGCGTGCCAAGGTCTCCACAGATGAGCGGCATTCACTGAAAACTCACGCCGAGGGCAAAGCGTGCAGGTGGCACTGTGAACCCGCTTGCTGCACTGCCGTCGACTTGCCACCTCACATTCCGGCTGGTTTGCAGTTTCAGAAATGTACGCAAAACGAACCCACCGCTGCCACCAGAGTGCTGGATCACAAGAGTCAGGGCTCGGTTTCCCACTCAACGGTCGCTGCTGGGTCACTGGTAGTCTAGAGTAGGCCCGCCACAAGAAGCCACAGCTGCGGTTATACTGGATGTGGTGTGACAAGTGCAGAAATATTTCCCGGATCGCTCATCCAGACAAACCCGACTGAGATTAAAGCTACCACGCCCCCGACTCACCTCTGACACCCTCTCGTCCGCCCGTCCCGGCCGCCGCCGCCGCCGCCATCGACACCGCCAGGTTCTCACGCCGCGACCCGAACTCCGTGGTGTCGGGAGGCCGGCAGCACCTGGCGTGGTGGCGCCTCCAGCCGGAGGAGGGCACCGTCCGCCTGGAGACACGCGCAAACTACGGCGCCCACTTCCTGCCGCGCGCCGTCACCTGCATGGCCTTCTCCAGCCGGGGCGAGCTGCTCACCGGCAAGCGGAGACCTGCACGGCTACACACAACAACTATACACAACAACTATACACAACTATACACAACTATACATAAACACAGATATACACAACTATACACAACTATACACAACTATACATAAACACTGATATACACAACAACTATACACAACTATACACAACTATACACACCCTGCACGGCTACACACAACAACTATACACAACTACTATACACAACTATACACAACTATACACACCCTGCACAGATATACACTGCTATACACAACTATACACAACTATACACAACTATACATAAACACAGATATACACAACAACTATACACAACTATACACAACTGCACACAACTACACACAACTATACACAAACACAGATATACACAACACCTATACACAACTATACACAACTATACACAACTATACACACCCTGCACAGATATACACAACTATACACAGCTATACACAACTATACACAACTACACACACCCTGCACAGATATACACAACAACTATACACAACTATACACAACTGCACACAACTACACACAACTATACACAACTATACACAAACACAGATATACACAACAACTATACACAACTATACACAACTATACACACCTTGCACAGATATACACAACTATACACCGCTATACACAACTATACACAACTACACACACCCTGCACAGATATACACAACTACTATACACAACTGCACACAACTACACACAACTATACACAACTATACACAAACACAGATATACACAACAACTATACACAACTATACACAACTATACACCCCCGCACAGATATACACAACTATACACAGCTATACACAACTATACACAACTACACACACCCTGCACAGATATACACAACTATACACAACTATACACAACTACACACACCCTGCACAGATATACACAACTATACACAACTATACACAAACACTGCTATACACAACTATACACAAACACTGCTATACACAACTACAGCTATACACAACTATACACAACCACAGCTATACACAACTATACACTACCACAGTTATGCACAACTATACACAACCACAGCTATACACAACTATACACAACCACAGATATACACAACTATACACAACCACAGTTATACACAACTATACACAACCACAGATATACACAACTATACACAACCACAGATATACACAACTATACACAACCACAGTTATACACAACTATACACAACCACAGCTATACACAACTATACACTACCACAGTTATGCACAACTATACACAACCACAGCTATACACAACTATACACAACCACAGATATACACAACTATACACAACCACAGTTATACACAACTATACACAACCACAGATATACACAACTATACACAACCACAGATATACACAACTATACACAACCACGGCTATACACAACTATACACAACCACAGCTATACACAACTATACACAACCACGGCTATACACAACTATACACAACCACAGATATACACAACTATACACAACCACAACTATACACAACTATACACAACTATACACAACCACAACTATACACAACTATACACAACCACAGCTACACACAACTATACACAACCACAGCTACACACAACTATACACAACCACAGCTATACACAACTATACACAACCACAACTATACACAACTATACACAACCACAACTATACACAACTATACACAACCACAGCTATACACAACTATACACAACCACAGCTACACACAACTATACACAACCACAGCTACACACAACTATACACAACTATACACAACCACAGATATACACAACTATACACAGCCACAGCTATACACAACTATACACAACCACGGCTATACACAACCACAGATATTCACAACCACAGATATTCACACCCATGCCCTGCACAGCTACACACCATCACCACGCCCTGCACACCTATACACCTTCACACCCTGGTCACCTTCACCCCGGCACGCGGCCTCCTGCGTGCGGTCCACACAGCGTTTATTGTCGTCAGTGAGCTCCATGGACGTTGAGTCTCGATGTTCTTGCTGCACCGTACGATGATGGGGAGTTGACTGGGAGCGCGTGGCGAGCGTGTTCGTGCCGAGGTGGCCGGTGAGCCGGTGCGTGGAGCAGCGTCGTGGCGAATGCCGCAAAAACGCTGCCCGGCGAACGGCCGAAGCGTCCGGTGGTGTTTAGTTTCAGATGGGTGAGCACGGTCGCACCTTGGAATGATCCCATTGTTTTCACTCGACGCTGCTGAGGACAGTCCGGAGCGCTTGCTGCTGAGTGGAGACAATGGTCAAGAAGGAAGCGGTCACAAAGGAAACCCCAACAGGACCGTCTTCATCATTAAATAACGATAATCAGATTAACGGGGGCAATGGATTCAGCGTTCGCGTCACCCCCTTCGTCCGTACCCGGGCCCTCCCGCGGGGAGGCAAACGATCCAATTGGCGGTGACACAAGTCTGCGAGCTCCAACTCGAATTCGACACCCGGTCTCAAAAACGCACGTGCTCAACAAATCGTGAATAAATAACGTACGTGATTTTCCCGTGCGCAAGCGTGTGTGTGTGTTTCTACGGGGAAAGGCAGTGCAGTGGTTAGCGCATGGCATTAGGAACCTGGTGACCTGTGTTCGACTCCTGCTTTTTGTGTTGAGTTTGTTGTGCTTCCCCCGCATCTCCGCTTCGCATGGTAGTCTATGTATGATGCGAAAGAAGTTCAACATGCATACATCTAACATCGGTGACGAATATTTAAAACTGGTCCTGGGCCTGCCCTCTACGGGTACCTGGTCCAGTGTGTAAATATCAGAACTCTGGAGACAAAGGCGGCCGGGAATGGTGCTGGCCCCCCCTCGTGTGCCATGCCGGCCTTCATAGGTGCTACTCACTAGCAGCACCTCGTCACGGCTGGTTGTGTTTATACCGCGCTTGTATTTTGCTTCAGGAGACTCGAACGGCACGGTGTTCGTGTGGGCCGAGGGCGGCGGTGCCGTGAGTCAGCTGATCCAGCACGCGCACGACGCGCCGCTGCTCGCGCTGCTGCCCCTGCGCGGAGCGCTGCTCACGGCGGCCCGCGACCACTCCGTGTCCGCGTGGAGCTGGGGCCGCACCTTCCAGCACGCCGGCACCCTGCAGGTGCGCAGGGTGTGTCTGAGTGTACGCGTACAGCCGGCAGTCTGCAAGTGTGCAGGGTGTGTCTGAGTGTACGTGTACAGCCGGCACTCTGCAGGTGCGCAGGGTGTCTGAGTGTACGCGTACAGCCGGCAGTCTGCAAGTGTGCAGGGTGTGTCTGAGTGTACACGTACAGCCGGCACTCTGCAGGTGTGCAGGGTGTGTCTGAGTGTACGCGTGCAGCCGGCACTCTGCAGGGGTGCAGGGTGTGTCTGAGTGTACACGTACAGCCGGCACTCTGCAGGTGTGCAGGGTGTGTCTGAGTGTACGCGTGCAGCCGGCACTCTGCAGGGGTGCAGGGTGTGTCTGAGTGTACACGTACAGCCGGCACTCTGCAGGTGTGCAGGGTGTGTCTGAGTGTACACTCAGACACACCCTGCAGGTACGCAGGGTGTGTCTGAGTGTACACGTACAGCCGGCACTCTGCAGGGGTGCAGGGTCTGTCTGAGTGTACGCGTACAGCCGACACTCTGCAGGGGTGCAGGGTGTGTCTGAGTGTACGTGTACAGCCGGCACTCTGCAGGGGTGCAGGGTGTGTCTGAGTGTACACGTACAGCCGGCACTCTGCAGGGGCGCAGGGTGTGTCTGAGTGTACGTGTACAGCCGGCACTCTGCAGGGGTGCAGGGTCTGTCTGAGTGTACGTGTACAGCCGGCACTCTGCAGGTGCGCAGGGTGTGTCTGAGTGTACGTGTACAGCCGGCACTCTGCAAGTGTGCAGGGTGTGTCTGAGTGTAGCGTACAGCCGGCACTCTGCAGGTGCGCAGGGTGTGTCTGAGTGTACGTGTACAGCCGGCACTCTGCAGGTGTGCAGGGTGTGTCTGAGTGTACGCGTACAGCCGGCACTCTGCAGGTGTGCAGGGTGTGTCTGAGTGTACGTGTACAGCCGGCACTCTGCAGGTGTGCAGGGTGTGTCTGAGTGTACGTGTACAGCCGGCACTCTGCAAGTGTGCAGGGTGTGTCTGAGTGTACGCGTACAGCCGGCACTCTGCAGGTGTGCAGGGTGTGTCTGAGTGTACGCGTACAGCCGGCACTCTGCAGGTGTGCAGGGTGTGTCTGAGTGTACGCGTACAGCCGGCACTCTGCAGGTGCGCAGGGTGTGTCTGAGTGTAGCGTACAGCCGGCACTCTGCAGGTGCGCAGGGTGTGTCTGAGTGTACACGTACAGCCGGCACCCTGCAGGTGCGCAGGGTGTGTCTGAGTGTAGCGTACAGCCGGCACCCTGCAGGTGCGCAGGGTGTGTCTGAGTGTACACGTACAGCCGGAAGTCTGCAAGTATGCAGGGTGTGTCTGAGTGTACCTGTACAGCCGGCACACTGCAGGTGCGCAGGGTGTGTCTGAGTGTACACGTACAGCCGGAAGTCTGCAAGTATGCAGGGTGTGTCTGAGTGTACCTGTACAGCCGGCACCCTGCAGGTGCGCAGGGTGTGTCTGAGTGTACACGTACAGCCGGAAGTCTGCAAGTATGCAGGGTGTGTCTGAGTGTACCTGTACAGCCGGCACACTGCAGGTGCGCAGGGTGTGTCTGAGTGTACACGTACAGCCGGGACCCGGCAGGTGTGCAGGGTGTGTCTGTAGATGCACCCCTGGCAACCTACTTGGACTAGATAACGCTTTACAACATTATGCGTTTGTCTTCAGAACTATGGAAGCCTACAATGAGAATGCATTTGCTATTTGCAAGTTGTCCTCTTTGCTCTGATCTGCATCTCCCAAGTTTTGGGAAAGCATTGAAACAATTTTGCCGGTATTCTTACGATAAGCCCTTAACAGCAACACGACTCTGTACTACAGTTTTGGAACATCATGAGAATTGGTTCCCGCCCCCCTCCCCCATTGATAGAGAGAGAGACGACGCAGAAAGCACGTATGAAAAGGAATCAAAATGATCGTCGCCGCTCTCGGTCTGACCTCCGTCTCCTCCCTCGACGGCAGATGCCGGAGTGCGAGGGCGGTGCGGTGGCGCTGGCGATGAGCGGCGGTGGCGGCCGCGGCGGCGTGCTCTATCTCGCCACGCTCGGCTGCTCCGTGCTCTGGGCTCCTCTCGGCGGCAGCGACGACGACGCCGCCGGCGCTTCCCTCGCGGGGGTCGCGCTGGGCCACCCGGCCGTCACGCACGGGCACCGGCGGCCCCAGCGAGCGGCCCGCACAAAGACGACCGCCGCTGCACAGCGGCCGAAGGGGGCGAGTCGGGAGCCGGCGGAGAGGGAGGAAGAGGAGGCCTGGGCCGCCCTGGGCATCCACCGCGGTCTCGCGGGAGAGGGGCTCTTTGTGACGGCGGGGCGCGACGGTTTCCTGCAGCTGTGCGACAGCAAGGAGAGGAGCTGCCTGCTTCGTCACGCGATGCCCGGCGCCGCCTTCGCGTGCGTGGACGTGGGCCCTGCCGGGTGGCTCATCGACCAGGGGCGAGTAGCCGCACGCGTTGGCGGAGAGCCACTCGGCGTCTCCGTGTATAAATGCAAGCTTCACTTTTGAGTCCGGCCTCTCGGCTTTCGGGACCAGCGATACGCAGCAGCGAGCCGCACGCGCACGGCAGCGCCGCCGATATCTGTGCGAGTGGCGGTTAACGCGCGTTCTCGCGCCGGGTGCCGAATCGGCCTCTGTTCTCAGAATCCTGCCCGAGGACCTCGGCGGTGGCGACGATCGCTCGGCGCGGCACGGCACCCCCGAGCACCTCGTCGCCGCCGCCACCGACGACGCCACCGTCGCGCTGCTGTGCGTGGGCGGCGGTCGGGGTGGGGGGCGGCCGCCCTGGGCGCGGGTGCTGTGCCGCGCTCCCCGCGTGGCCCCGGCGAGCGCCACCGCACTGCGTCTCTCGCCGACGGGGCGCCACGTGGCGCTGGCGTGCGCCGACTCCGCCGTCTACGTGCTGCTCGTCGGACGACCGCCGGCCGCGCCTCGAGTTCGTCGACACGGTCAGAGGCCGGGGTCCCCCCCACGGCCCTCCGCCCCGTCCGGACGCGCTCGCGGTACCGCTGACGTTTGTCGTCGCGCCCTCCCCACGTTCGTTCGTTTGTACGCGCCGGGGTTTCAGTCCACAGCGCGACTGTGGTGACCGATCTCAAACTATGCACCGTGCGGTAACACCGCTGCACGCTTCGATAGTTCGCCGGGCAGCGTTTCAGCCACGAGGCTGCTCCACGCAGCGGCTCACGCGCCAACCTCGACACGAACATCGATCAACTCGTCGTAGAGCAGAAGTCGATTTTTCCGTTGGGTTTTGTAACGTCATAGCGTCGCTTGTACGGATGTTGTGACGTCGCACGACGCCACGACGTCTGTCCGTGTGACCGCTATTTTTTTTTATCTTCTCTCACCTCTCGCTTGCCCTCCTTGCTGTAGTCACACATGCATCGTGTGTAATTGGCCAACGTCAGTGGCTGCTACGTCCACCCGCCCCTACTGGACATCCCATCGGATGTATCCACGACAAGCAAAGATTCTGATAACGTTGACAAAACCATCGATTTTCAAGTCGAATTGCAACCCCGAAACGTGGACAAGACATCTTGCATCGCGAGGGGGGCGAATGAGAACTTTCCTCGGCATTCCTGCAACGTCTTGGGATGCATCCACATGTGGACGCTCTGTCGGTCTAAACTGACATTGTTGGATATCAATGCATTCGTAAAAACGGCGCATTCGAGAGCCAGACCCAACGTCCCCATTGCTGCTCCGTGGAGTTGAGCACTCCGGCGTAACGGTGGCTAGGAGATGTCAACTCCCTCGCCTGGTATACAGGAGGTCGTGGGTTCCATCCCGACCCGGACGCATGCTGTATATTTGGAGTTTGCATATTCTCCCCGTGATCGCGTGGATTTTTCTCCGAGTCCTCTGGTTTTTCCTTCCACATTTAGAATCAACATCACTTTGCTTTAGAGTGTTTGTCTGCTATAAATTTCAACGTGATAAGCCACTTCGTTGAGCTATCATTAGTGGCCAGGTCGACGTCTGAAAAATAACTAAACAGTATAGCTCAGTGGGCCTTACCTGGTAAAATAGAAGATTGTTTCAAATATTCTTGGTTCTTTCGGTAAAGTCACGTAGAAGGGAAATAATAAAATAATATAAATCAATAAAAATTCTCATGACGTTTCGACTGCAATACAAGCAATCATCATCAGGTGTGAAATCCACAGCACTTTATTCAAATTGTATTGCTGTGCATTTCACACCTGATGATTGCTTGTGTTGCAGTCGAATTTTATTGATTAATATTATTTTATTATTTTATTATTTCCCTTCTACGTGACTTTACCGAAAGAACTAAGAATATGAATCCCTGCAGTCACGAAAGCTTTAAATAAAAATTGTTTCAAATAGTTTCATTATTACCCGTCACAAGCGCTCGCTCTCACCTTCCAGACAGACGCCCGGCCGCAGCGTCACCTCCGGTGTCCCCGAGAGCGTCCGAGGACGACGGCGACGCCGTGGTGGGCCTCTCCGTGGCGGCCGTGTGCCGCACGGGCTGCCCGGGCCCCATCACGGGCCTGGACTGGTCGCGCGAGCCGGCACGGGGAGGGCAGCACCTGCTGCGGGCCAGCACGGGCCAAGGCGGCGACGCGACGGTCTGGGACGCCGCTTCCGGGGAGCGGCTCGCGGACGCGGCCGCCTGGGGGAATGCGGCCTGGGACTCGGACACCTGCACGGGGGGGTTCGCCAAGATGGGTGAGTGACCGGGGGGGGGGGCGGGGGGGGTCGAGTGGGGGCGCGGGAGTAATGTGCGCGTGGAGTCCGCGGTGACCGCGGGTACGGCAGAGTTCGGATGCTCAAATGAAACGCGCGGGGCCGCGTTGGTGCAACT